TACACTGGGAACTGCCTTGCGGTGGGTCAGAAAGGGAATGCGCACCTGGGCTGGAAGCTGGGGAGGGAAAGAAAGTTTTTAAACTGGCTCTGGTAGCAGAGATATCCTGACATAAAACTGTACTTTGAGAGGACTGCTTGTCCTTTCTCCCGATAGTAGGAATAGCAGAATTTTGTCCGCAATTTGTGAGAATCGGTTTATTTTGAAGGCACAAGTAATACATGTGACTCGTTTGACCATTTGCACAGGGGAAAGCCTACCCTGTAAATCAGTTTAGTTTTGTAGCTGTAGATTAGTTTAGTTTTGCATAGAAACTATTCCACCACCATAGGGGTGGTGGAATGAATTGTGGCAAACATGAAATAACAGCTGGCCTAGAATGGGGTATGGAAATTAAAAAACTGAAGGGTTTTGAACAGATTTCCCAGTTAGGTGACTCAGTGTCCACAGCGTCTTTTCCTCGCTTTTTTAACTTTGTTCCTGAACGACTCCAGAGTTCTTTCCAGCGTGTGTCATGCACCACATGCTTTATTCACATTCCAGGTATCCCACACTTGTTTTCACAGAGTCAAAAACTAAGGTTTTTTTTTCCTTCTCTCTTTCTCCACCTTTCCCCAAATCTTAGTCTATTTATGAATTGCACAACTTGACATGGAAGCACTGTGACCAACGTGCAAGCATAGAGTTTAATTATCAGTTACTCTTTTTGATGTTGGTTTGGCAACCAGACAGACAGAAGTGCATTGCAGATGTTTGGTTCAAGTGTTATATGGGTGAAGCAGAGGGAACTGAGTAAACGTTTTCACTGTGTCCTTCTCAATACTTCTTATTCTAACTCTGCCATGAGAGGGAATACACTTTCTACAGGTGGTGGTTGTTGTCGTTGTAGTTTTTTAATGCTGTTTCTGATAATTTTCTTGAAGTGCAACTTTTGTTCAGCTTCTGAAGGAGTTATGGATGATTTAGCCAAATCTTTCCTTAAAGACATGATTCTTACTCAAGAGAAGTTAGTACTTGGTAAGTGGCCGTTTTACCAGCATTCAAAAAGTCTTCCAAAGTGAAAGGCACAAAATTTCACCTTCTACTGTAAGAACGCACAGAACAAAATGCTTGGCTGCTGCTTCTGAAAAGAGCAGTAAACTTTCGTTATCAAAGCCATTTGCCCCTTGTTTTGGATGAGAACTGCTGTCCTCATTGTGTATGTGTATATAAAGGGACATTTCTCTACATTAGAATACAGCTAATGTGGAAATTAAGCTTATGCAATGCAGAGGGCATACTTTTTTGGGGGCACTCTGCAGTGGGCCATCCATGAGCATACCTCGGAAAGGATTAGTCCTCAGCTCTGCCTGGATAGATAGATGTGAACAGGATGTGAGTTAGCTACTGAGGTAGGGCAAAACTCCTGTCTCAATTCTCCTCTTTTTCCATGCCAGCATAAATCATGAGTAATTCCTTGAGTATAATAAAGTAAGACTGGTTTTATCCCAATGTAAATGAGAGAAGATGCCAAGTTCTTGGTGTAAATATACAAAAACTTGTAAAAATTCCTTTTCTTGACGTACATCTTACTCTACCCTTGAATAACACTTTTTTTTTTTCTCTTCATTCACTGCAATCATTCCATTTCTTTTTCCTTTTAGTGTGAAAATATAGAGGGGCTAGTATGTCCACATTTGAGAAAACTTATCATCCTGCTTTCAAAGTGAAATAGCATTGCAATTTGCTGCCGTGAAACTACTGACTTCAGTAGAGGTGGAACGCTTACAAACCTTATAAAACTATGCCAGTGTGCCTTTTTAGAGGGGTGCTAGAAAGAAACCAACCCCAAGGTATTCTTAAGGTCTGAGCCAAGAATTGCTGAATCCAACTGTGGCTACTGTGGATTTTGTCACAGGTGTTTGCAGAGGCTTGACTCCTATTCAGACCAATGGGAGAACAGTTCTTGGGATGTGGTAGAAAAGGAAGGAACATGTCCATGTCCTGTGTTTTTCTCGCTTGATAAACTCAGAATTAAATTTATCATCATGCTTCCAAGCACTGCCATTGCTTCTCCTGAGATTATTTCACTTTCTGGCACATTGGTGGACTGAGTTTAGGCACAGCAGTCTTAATTATTTTTCTTTTTCAAAACATTTAAGCCACAAAACATTGTGCAGTTTTCTTCTTGGCAACAGCTTTTTTCCATACTGCCAGGACATTGTTGAGCTCTTCTCACTTTCTCTTGGCATGGATGCAAATAGTAACCCTTTGCTTTATAGGTTACAGATCGCATTTATCACTGGAAGGCTTAAAAATTCTAGAGGAAGCCTCATAAGCTTCAACTTCATTGACCCTGGTCAGCTGCTCTTTACTCTAATGCTTCTGGGTTTTGAACACTTTCTGTGCTAATTTGTGGCCCTTTGTCAAAACAATAGTTTAGAACAGCTCACATTGTGGACTATTTTTCATGTCTGCTTTGACCTATTTGGACCACTGTACTAGCTATGCATGCTGCCCAACTCCACAAATAAGGAGTAAGAAGACAGATAATCAGAATAATTCCCCTCTCTTCCTTCTTGTTCCATGTTGTTAGGATGTGTTCAGTGATGTTTGCCTTAATGTCAAATGTAAGGTGTGTCACTTCCCAATCAGGAGGAAACCTGAGAGCAAACGGAGTCTCCCTCTTGTCCTGTGCTGCTCCAAGGCCATTGCTGCTGTATGTTGACTCTCACAGGAGGCTTGAAGAAAAGCTATAGGCCATCTGATTATTTCTGTGTTTTAATCAAGTATTTCCTCCCTCACTTCATATTAAAAAACCAACAAATGTGAAAATAAAGAAAAACTACCTCCTAAACATTACCTCCAAAGTTACCTGACATGTGCCAGGTTACAGAGTAGTTCCACAGGATTCAGATTATATTTGCAACATAAACATTTACATTTATCATTTTATAAACTATACTATATCATATAGTATCATACTTCCATATATTCCGTGCAGATGTGATAATCCGTTGTCCCAAGTTGCTCAAAAACTGTGCTGTGGTGTGAATGTAGAGTTGCTAAGCTGATACATGTTGTTTAAAGACTGGTTGCTGCAAATAGTATTCCCATTCTGACTTTGGCATGTTGTCTTTCCGAAACAAAAGAGAATTACACAGCTAATTAAGTTACTGCCGTTCGACTCACTCTGTCATGATTCCACTTGTGTTGTTTGATACTTCACACAGTGTGTTTCTTATGATAGCCTTGCAAATGTCAGGTGTAGGGGCTATACTCCTTTCCCAGAAGATTCCTGAAATTTCCCTCGATTTTGTGCTAGTTCTCCAACTTATAGCATCCCCTTATATTGAAGATAATGTTGTCTGTGTACCACCTTAAAGTGCTTTTGTTCTGTTTTCTCTTTTATGATTGCATGTACCCTTTCTAAAGGATATGTGAGGTTGGTTAGACATAAGTAAATATAGGCACTGATGTAAGGCAACGCTGAAATAGGCATGACTGCACTGCCCGCTTTCCTATGTGAGACCCTAGGAATGTGAAGTTAGCTGCAGCTGTGGTGGTGTGAGAACAGCAGGAACTGGAGTAATAAAAAACCCCCACTGTTTCTACCCTTACTCCTTTCATCTGAGCTGGAAACGACTGTGGACGCTTGTCGTCTTGTCCCCTGGCTCTCTGCCTTGGTTGCACTCCTGGCCCTGGAGCAGCCTGGCCCTGAGACCTAGCTTCTGGAGTAGATAATTTCAGTTTTGCTTATACTGCTCAAAGGACTTGAACTCAACTCTACAGACATGGAGGTTTGTCATTAAATTCTATCAGAATAGAATTATATCTGTTAGAAGAAATCCTGGGCCTCCAAAAATCTCATTTAACCATCTTCATTAGGAATAATTTAAATCTGGGGTGCTCAGCTTGGGTAAAACTTTCCTAGTGTGAGTGAGTTCAGAATCAATCTCAGGCGGGGATTGTGCTTAGACTTCATGAGGAGCAAGTCTTGTGTTTCTTTTGTTAGACACATTATCTTGAAATTCTTTTTGTTCTTTCTGCCACCACAGTGTGAATATATGTCTCACTGATTCAAACACAATGTCATGCCCTGAGTGCTCTCTGTTTAGCCGCTTTCTGTCCAGCATTCCTCCATCCTACTCTCTGGCTTGGGAAATGTTTCTAACTCTGTTGTTTTTATCTAAATTTAGTCTGATTTTAGTGACGGTGAGTTCATGAGCTCTCTGAAGCTCTTGGTGTTTTGCAATATTTGTAATCACTCTAACAGTACTTTGGAATGATCAGTGAGTTTCATCTATGTTTAGTTTACTTCTTTGCAGTGTGATTCATGAAGATGTTGGGCTGAGTACTAGCACATATTTATCAACATCTACAGTGAACTGTTCCTCAGAGCAGAAACTGTTTTTTCAAACCAGCTGTCCAGAGACCATTAATTTATCAAAAATATTTATTCTTTCTGAAAAGCCAGTGCTAAGTGTGCAAGTAAACCTTCCTTCTTTAACAGCAACGCAAGATTACTAGTCTTTTAAGATATCAGAGGTTGTTGTCAGTATGTTGCCGTAGATGTCATTTCCATGACTCTCACCAGCTGAACCCAGGAGGACTACAGAGGCAAAGAAGATGGCATATCTAGATACTCTTCTGAGGAGCTGAATCCTTTCCAATGTTTCCTGCTAAATATTTGGTTGAAAAGCTGCCACTTTTGATGAAAATGAGGGGTATTTCACTGACTTCATTTTAAAGATGCAAAAGCCGCAGCCTTCCCTGAGCAGATGTTAAGTATGTATTATAATGATATAGGACTGTCTTTAACTTCTCTTAAAGGAGAACTCCAAACTGCCAGAATTACCCCCTTCATTTGGTGATACTGACTTCAAGATATTCAGGGTTTTCATCCATGTCTTTGACAATTAGTATTTTAACTTTCAGGGAGTGTTAAGAAGCTGTAAAACACATTTGAAAATTATACCCTTGACACATGTTTTGTTTTTTTTTTTTTCCTCCTTTTTCAGAAAGTATTTTGGAGAAAAGATAGGACTTTATTTTGCATGGCTGGGTTTATATACAGAATTCCTCATTCCATCTTCAGTAGTTGGGATTATTGTATTTCTTTATGGATGTATAACCATTGAGAGTGACATTCCTAGGTAAGTTTCTCTGTGATCAATAATTTGTTATTTGAAAATTATAAGACTGTGCTTTTTGTTCGTAATCCTTAGTGAGATTAATTGCTTTTAACACGTCTGAAGAACAGTGATGCATCATTAACAACCCTGTGAGCATTAGAAATACACATGTAGATATCTGAATGACACACATTTATTTGGCTGTTCAGTATTGCAGCTCCTGAAACAGAAATGTTCAGTGAGTCTACTGCATTATTGTGAGTTCTTTTTTATGACACTCATTTGCTTTTTACGAATGCACGTATCTCCACGCTCACCCAGAAAGACATCATGCAGAACTCACTGAAGTTAATTCAAATACACTGTCCAGTACTCTTGGATTACTTTGTTCTTCTTAGTAAAATTAGGCTATTTGCACAAGTAAGATAACAATAGTTAGTAGATTTGGCATATCTGGTATCCACAGTATCCTCCTTCTTGACAGGTACAAAAAATGTTGAGTTTTGTGCTGTGTGTCCTGAGGGTGTTATACTAAACAAAAACTGCCAAATCGACACAATGATGTTAACATCTCCCTCTCAGTGAAGAAAAAGGACACGTCCTCTGTGTTATCTGTGTGTGACTTCTGGTGGAGACAGGATACTGGATTACTAGTACTGCTGGTCACATTGTTGTGGCAGTTCCTGCATTCTCTCAAATGAATTGGCAATTTTTAAAGTGGATCACTGCAGTAGGATGTTATTACTGTTAGGTAAATGATGAATAACAACACATCTGAGTCAGGGTTTGTTTCCTTAGCTTGATCTGAATGAATCTGGACAGGCTGTGCTTGTCTGTGGGAAAGCTTGTGCTAACATTTAAACTTAAGTGAGATTTATGGCTAAGATGTATCTGCAGCACCCTCTACTGCCTTTTGAAATAGAAGAGAGCATTACTTTAACGGTATGATAGCTGGAAACAGCTGTATGCCTTGCAAATGATATAGTATTAAAGATATTGACACTACAGTTTGAGTAGTTCTTTCTTCATTTGAAGTCATAGACAAAATGCTATTTAATGATGGTCAATATAGGAACAATCATAATCACAGTATGCCAGCTATCAATGAAGCAATGTTGCAAGTCTTTCCTTAGCTCACAGTCCTGGCAAGGACACTTGAGCTTTGCACTACTCAGTTCACCTGAGTAAGACTGTGTAGTTATGAAGGTCTTTCACATGCAAACCTTATGAAAAAAAGTGAAAGCATATTCAGCAGTGTCAAGTAGTGTTTGGCTTGTTAAAGAGATAGTGATAATGATTTTTTAAAGATTTTTAGAAACTGAGTAAATACACAACAAATAAGACTAAGAATTAAAATAACAACTTAAAGACTACAAATCTGTAAGAAAGTCTCTGATCTCACATTTTCCAGAGGACAGCTGAACAAATGCTGTAAACTGAGGGAAAGGAAATACAACTTAGCATCTGAATATATGAGGCAGAAGTGGAAGCTTTCTAGTTTTTATAAGATTTACTGCTGGGGGGAGTGGGCTTTTTTCCTATTTTTTTTTTTTTTATTTTGGAAAATTAGGTTAGCACTCTGTACTAGAAAAACAAGGAGCTGTGGAGACCAAGAATAGCACATATATATTCAGCATTCAAACTTGAGAACCCTGAAACCACTGTGCACACAATATCTGAACACCCTGAAAACATATTAGAATGGGTGCCTAAAATAACTGCCCACACTTGAATAACGTAGCCAAAACCTTATAGCAGATGGTGGTACAGATGAGAATTGGTGTTAAAGCCTTATGCTGGGAAAACAACTATTGCTTTTATAAATATCTTAAAAATAAAATGCAGGGTAGAGGTGAATCTCAAAGTAAATGTTGTGAAATATAACATCCTTGCTAAGAATGAGACTCTTGGTTGGTGTAAGTCTTTTAAATTCAGTACACGTATGTCAGTTTATACCAAAACCTAGCATATCTTGCAAATGGTGTTGCAAATTTATTTTGTCTGTGACATAGACCAACCAACACGCCTGGGTGCTGGTTCTGGCTTTTATGCAAACATACATGGCCAGTCCCGACACATAAAGTAGCATGGTATTTGACATGGATTTTTGTGCCTTCATGTTAAAAATGTGTGTTTCGTCAAGGACACAGAATTTCCTTCATGGCCACTTCAGAATTCTTTTTCATGAATTTAAATCTGATCTGTATCAAATCATGTAACTGACTGCAGAGATGGCATATTCCACTTTGACTGTATTTTAATTCATTTCTTTTAGTGTGGCTAACCTCAGTCTTCAGTGATGCAGTCTTGACAAATTCACTAATACAGTGTGGCAATTAGATTGTTTGCTGTATTGCATTGCTCTCCTGTTGGTAAGGTGCCTATAAGTATTTTAATATTCCAGCTCATGGCAATGTGCCTTGAAGAAACACACAACTTCTGTTCTCTGCAAGTGCAAGCCACATATGTTGCAAATAGCTCATAATATCTATGATGTGCTGCTTGATATCACTACTGTACATACCCCTTTTCTAAGTCGTAATACTCTTTGTGCGCTTGTCATTCACAGTAAAGAAATGTGCGACCAACGCAATGCCTTCACCATGTGCCCCCTGTGTGACAAGTTCTGCGATTACTGGAACCTCAGCTCTGCTTGTGCTACCGCTCGAGCTAGCCACTTATTTGACAACCCCGCCACGGTCTTCTTCTCCATCTTTATGGCTCTCTGGGGTGAGTATTGCTTTGCATGTTAACAGTGTCGTTTGATCTTTGGACTCCTGACAGAAATGAAAGCTGCGATGTACAGTAGTAGAACATAGAGTAGCCTTATTTATAATAAAGTGCTATTAGATTGAATGTGATACCTGGGGTTTTATGAAGCTGGCAAACCCCAGAAGGCCAGCGAGGGGCTGTCTGTGCCTGCACAGGAGAAAGCAATATTACAAGGCTTTCCGTTGTCAACAGCAAGCTTTGGAATAAATGGAGAGGATTTGGGTAGTTCAGGGAAGAAAAATGTGTCCTTTCTCCATCTACTGCCTTGTTTAATGGCACTTCTAATCTTTGCCATGTTTTTCTTCATTTTTCTTCCTTTTCTATTGACATGGCAAGTCCCTTTAATACCTTCTGCATTTGAGGCCAGAATGTATTTGGGGATTGGTGTGGTGCAGGCAGCTGAAAGGGTTTAATTTAAGCACAGGGTGCACTTCCATGTGGGACAACTTAGTCACATAATTTTATCAAAACTTCATGGGATTCCAAGAACAATGGGACTATTATCATTTTAATTATAATATGTTCTAAAGTACTCCATTTAAACAAGCTTGGTTTTCTTTAATGGCAAATATACCCTGTCTCACTGAGGATATCAAAACACTTCATAAACACTAATGAATGCATTGTAGTACTATTCTTATTGTTTCTGGCCTCACCTCTGCCCTGAAAAGTGTGTGTACTGTGCTTGCATGTATTATTGCTGGTATTATGCCCTCATTCACTCTAGATCTTGTTTATTGTGAAAGTTAAAAGGTGTTATTGCTACTGTAAGATGATCTTTTATTTCCCTATTCATTGTTCACGAAATGAAATTTTCATTCTTAATATGAAATTGAGCAAATACATTATTGTATTATAGCGTTATACTATTATATACGTTATATATTGTGTTATACTTTGCAACCCTTTGCAAATTTTACAGCTTGTTTTAGAAATGACTGATTGGTCGCTTGATGTGGGATATGGATAGCATAGGGTTTTTAAGGAACTTGCAGACAGAACAGATCATGGAGGTAAGAAATTTTTTGTTTACCAGTTCCTGGAAACCCTTCAGCAGAAGTTAGAGAACATGTAAGCACTATGACTGAGAGAAATGGCAAAAGATGATGAATTTATAGACTCGCACAATGACTTACTTTCCTACTTCAGACTGCTGCCAATTACAGAGTAGACTGGCAGATAAGGTGTCACAGTTTTGTAATACATTGCCTTGTCCAAGTTTCAGTGTAACTGTTTAGACAGCGTGTGTATGAATGACAGTTCATTTACTCTTTTATAGGTAAATAGTATTTTCCTGACAGAGAATCTGTCCTGTAAACTTGCATCCATGCAAATGATCGTTTCCTTGGAGCCTCACCCAAAACAATTGTATTTCAGTATCAGCAATGCAATGTGCAAAACAAAATGTTGATATGTCCTTGCACTATGATAAATTAGTAGAATCTGTAAAGGAACAGAAAGGAACCAAAAGTTCCATATGCATTGCTTTTAAAAAACAGGCATGTAAGAATAAAAAAAATTCTTTCTGAGCTGTAGCCCCCCTCCAAAAAATGTTTCCCACCGATTGGAAAAGTCTGTTCTTGGGACCACGATAACTGAGCTTGTCAGTGCAAGAAAATACAGCCGTCATATACAAAGAACAGCAAAGTGAAACAAAGTACCCTTTACTAACTCTGCCCAGCTTGCCTATTAAGTATTAGATTACACCAAATTTTGCTGCCTTACTATTAGGAAGGAGACTGTGCTGGTTCTATCTAGAGCTCATTCTGCTGAATGACAGATCTCATTCACACACCTAATCAGCTTGCCTCACAGTATCTTGAGTAAATGTTGCCTGAATGCTTTTTCATAAGATATAGCATAGTGATGCGGAAACTGGCATGTCTTATGACTTAAAATTGTATACTTAAAAGAGCAAAGTATGGTAATTTGAGCTGGCTGCATTTCATGATGGTGTTGGGCACAAGAAGTCTTTCATCCCACTTGCCTTACCCCATTCTGTAAAAGGCAGATGAGTTACTACGGTTATTATCTTGAAAGGAATCATGCTTTCACTAGCTGATCTTGATGCCTCATAAAGTGTCTTTGTGATTCCAGCAATACTGTTTGCAAATGACCATATTCACAAAATACAAATTAATGCCTGACTAATTGTGCTTAATGTCACTAGCGTTTTGGGATACAGAATTTCAGCTGTCAGATGTGTTTATTAGAAGGACAGTTGAATATAATGGGACTGTTTTTCTGCTAGTGTAAGTCAGTGCAAACTTGCTGATTTCAGAACAGCTACTGCATCTAGCCAAATAAGTTCTTACAGAGCTAAATGTGGAACTAACTTTTTGAATAACAGGAAAAAATGGAACGAGTAATAGCACCCTATAAAATAACCAAATGTTTTTGTATTTAGGATATCTAAATACCCTTGAGTTTTCAAAACGTGCTAAATATAGCTTTTATATGTCCTCTTCTCTGTAAGGAAGGAGCAGAGATAGCAACTTAATTTCTTAATGTCTGGATTTACTTTCAGTGTACTGCCAATCCTGGGTTTAAGTGATATTTATTTCATACATTATAGGAGGATACCTGTGCAGAAAATACTTGCAGCTAACTGTTGGAATAGATTCTGTCTTGTAAGAGTCAGGTTATTTTAATAGTAGTCTAACTTTTCCCAGTGTTATGTTACAGCTTACACCAAGTGTAGATGCATTCAAAGGAAGCTGGATCTAATTCTCCACTGTAGTGTGTCTTGTGGAGCTATCTACAAGATGTTCAAACTGATGTAAATACTGCTGTGATCCAACAATATTTTTACAATCCCCTTTTCACCAACTGAAAAGGTGAAGTGAAGCATGAGAAAATGGAAAATAGTGCCTTATAGGTATAGCTTTTATTGGTATAGTGGGTGGTTTTAGTTGGTATATACTGGTTTAGTATTGACATAGTAATCTGAAAATAGGTGTCCACAAGTCAAGAGGAAGAAGTGCTATTTCTAATAAATCCTTAAGTCTATAAATCATGAGCAGCTCGGCAAAGGGCTAGCTAGAGGAAACAGCAGTTATGAGAGGAAGGTCAGGAGACTGTAAATATGAGACAACAGTACAACATCTGTTCCTTCATATTAATGAAAAAGGAAAAGCAGGAGACTGAACTTCTGGCCAGTCCTTCAGAACAAAATCACTGTGTCTATGCAGGACAAAAACATTGAACTATACCACTATAATATATTTCAAAAGAACATTATTTTCTACAAATTACTGAGGGTCTTAGTTTACATAAAGGTATCAGTGATTTATTTCAGTAGCAGGCTACACCTACCTTCTTCACATGTTTCTGACTGATTAGAAACACTGAAACAGCAAAATCTGTTTGGCCAGTTAGAGTGTTATATGTTAATATTTAGAGCTACATTTTGTTTCATTAGTTGTCTTGTACTCAAGAATTCTAGAATGACTCATGGTAAATTAAGAGAGATGATGTTCTTGGGGTGGATATCAGCAGATATGGGTTCAGTTCCAGTCTCTTGACAAGAATTTACCAGTGCCTTTGGGCAATCCATGTTGTAGCTTGTAAAAAGACAGTATTTATTGTTTCCATGTTTTGCTTGTGTTCTTTCTTTAAAATTGGGCCTGGGGGTCTTTCGTAGTGCTTATTTATAAAGGGCCTAGCATAATGGGATTCAAATATCAGTTGGAGCTTATAAGTAACACAAACATTCACCATAGTGCATTGGATTTATAATGTTTAAATTGTTATTTTTTTTAAAGCTACTATGTTCCTTGAACAATGGAAGCGTTTGCAGATGAGATTGAGTTACTTCTGGGATCTAACTGGACTGGAGGAAGAAGAAGTAAGTTTCCTCTCCCTGTGCTCATTTACTGGATAAATTATTTTATATCTGAAGATATGTCTTGATATTTAGATTTCTCATGAGTGCTCTCCAGCCCAATGCAGTTCATAGCTATGTTTTTCTAAATGACTGTAGCTGATACAGTTTTGAGTATCAGTGTATCATGACAGAAATCATCACTTATATCTTACTGGTCAACATTTAATAGTCCTTTTCAACATTAATTATGAGATAACAGCAGATCATTTTTTTTTGCTGAGAATGCCCTTATGCCATTGTACAGAGTGCAGTAACAGAATGATACAGAATAAATACCTTGTCATATAGATGTTACTTCATTATGTATAACAAAAAGTCTCTGTGACGATGACCGTAACATGTCAGGGTAACATAAATAATATTTGCATGCAGCTCTGTGCTGCATCTACGATGCCTTAGGTACATCCTGAGCTCTAGGTACTCACCCACAGAGCTGTTGCAGACAACATATGGGGTTAGTTTCTTGAGAACAATTTTTAAGTGTTTTGCAGTTGCCCATGTGGCTCCTAGCTGTACCCAAGTTGACGGAAAAGTGAGACATACTTGTTTATTAGTATTTACAATGTCCCTAAGTTTGTTTTCAGTTGTGTTCCTAGGCATTGTTTCACATATCATGGCCTATGGTCTGTTTAAATTACTGAGACTCTCACCAGACGATTAATTTCTAACTCTGGCTAAAAAGAGTGCAGCTAGATTACTAGCTGTAAATATCATACTAAGAACAGGTAGACTTTGTACCTTCCGTTACTGATGTGGTTCTAGTACAGGATTGTATTCAGTAATTAATTCAGAACTGCAGCAATTAGATTCTCTTTTATTGTTAATGGTGAGCCGAGTACCTGTATGGAGCAATTCAGTGTGCCTTGCTCTCTTCGATGACATAATAAAATGTGGTCAGGTTCCTGGAAGGTGAGTTTTAGGCCTACCTTGGTTCGATGGGAGGATTTAAATCCGTTTCTTCATGTTCCAGCACAGTTCTTTAAACAACAGACCACATACAAGCCTCCAGCCCTGCTACTCAAGCTCTGCTCAAACACGATGTAGAGTGCAAATAATGTAGAAGAAAAGTAAGCTGACATCATGAACTTCATGGTGTAGCATCGTGATAATATTGTTCCACTTTTTTCTATTCCTCAGTTAAGAATCATTGGATAAAATGCAAAAATAACCCTGAGAACAGACAGCAGACTCCAGTATTCCTCTTCTTCCATCACTATCCCAAAATGCAGCCTTTAGCAATGTCTTTAGTGTAAGGGAGACCTCCCAAGTATTCCTTCGCTGATGACTTGACTACAACCTCCCCTATTTTGCCTCTGGTTTCTCAGCTTTTTCACTACTCTCTATCCAGTTATGACGTGGGTGATGCTCACAGTATAACCCAGTACTCACAGTTTGTAAGTTGTGATGCAGACCAAGTGCATCAGCACATCAGAAATTACTGCTTGTCCTATGTGGAATGTCATACTGCTCCCTGGAACAACAGCAATTTTGTACTAATTTCAGTACAAACTGAGAGGCTGGAGAGCAAACTCTTGGCTCTGCAGCATACTTCATGAACCCACCAGATTTTACTGAATTTCAAGTTCATCACTTGCAGTACAAAATCCTAAGGTTTCGCTTAGTATTTGCAAAATGCTGTGAAAGAATCTAGGTTTGTGAGGTCCTGTGATGAAGAGCTCTGAAGTGGTAAAAGTTTGTGGACAGGAACTGTGGGATCAGCAAGAATCCTTTGTTTATGACAAGTGAAGAAGTGCCAGACACATCGCAGCACAAGTTGAAGAATTAGGAACGTAGAATCATAAAAATAAGGCTGGAATGGACCTTGAGGGGCCATCCCTTGTGCACGGTAGGATCAAGTCTACTTAAATCATTATGAAAAGATGTTTGTCTAATTTGTTCTTAAATAAATCCAGCAGTGGAGATTTCACTTCCTCCCTAGGCAATCTATTCTACTGCTTATTTATCCGTACTGCTAATAAGTTTTTCCTAGTGTCTAACTGAAATCTCCTTGCTAAACGTTCTTTTTTTTTCTTGTTCTTTCTTTCAAAGATAAAGAGATTACCTCTGTCCTCTTTTCAGCAAAATTCAACATAATATCATATCTCTCTGTCACCCTTTTTTTTCTTTCTTTTTTTTTTTTTTTTTTAAAGATGAACTAGCCTCTGCTCTTTCAGTCTTTGTTGTTAAATCATTTTCTAGATGTCTGTTTATTCTTGTTCCCTTCTGGACATTTTCTAGTTGATCCAGCTGTTTCTTGAAGAATAATGCTCAAAATGGACATGTCTCTTGACCTGACATCTTAAGCAAAAAGCCATGCGCTGTATCATCTTCTGTCAGCTCTTGGTACTTCAGCAAAAATTCAAAAGTTCGATCAGGTTTTGTTCACCTTTTATCCATTAGATTCATAAAGATGAAGATAAATTTGTCTGTAAGACAGATCTTGGTACCATGTTTCAGTGGCGGTGAAGTCTTTACAAGTGTTGGAAAATGGAAAATTGCATCTGATCAGGTTAGGCCAGAAGGAACTAGAAGTGGAATGCACAGGATCACTTAACACAGCAAGAAGGAAAGGGACAAGGATGAAGTTTAGAAGGTTTAACAGTTTTAAGACTAGATGGGGTTAAGTTGTTTATTATTATCAATTTCTTTAGAAAGTGAAGTTAGAGAACCAAAACAGGGAGGAAAACAACCATAAAAATTGAAGAGCTGAGAAGTACCTTGTGAATATTATATTGAAATAAATGCTTTCAGTGTAATTTTTGTGGACTCTTGACTATAAAATTTTCAGTAAAATTACTCTCTTTAAACACACTGGGCCAAATCTTTTGCTTCAAAAGAGTCACACGAGAGATTAATTTAGTCCATTTATTTGTAAATATCTTGGCAACGGCAGTCTGAGAAAGCAGACTCCCTAAGGCTTGCATGCATATTTGCAGCTGGCAGCCGTACAGGCTTAGAGGATTTGTGTTTGTACATCTGAAATCCACAAAAATAATAGGTAGCATTGGGTACTAACTGTAACATAGATAATAGTGTTGAAAAGCAATTGAGCAACTGATAACTAAAGGGGAGGGGGAAAGAAAAGAAACAAACCCAGACCAGAACCATGAAAAACTTGGAAATACCGTGAATAAGCACTCAACGTGTCATGCCACAGATATGTGTTAGTGTAACCCAAACAAACAGGTTGTGCATTTGTTTGTTTTTCAGGTTTTATGATAAGGGATATAGTGATCAATGAAGCAGGGGTAGAAGTGGCAGAATCCACACACTCTTCTAATTGTGAAGGAACTGGTGAAGAAATACCGAGGGACTGTAATTAATGATGTGGGGAGTAGAAACTATTGGCTTCCCATTAATCTTCAGAAATTGTATTTCTAGGACCCAAGATGTTCCTGCTTTAGGTTTTCTGGGTGGAAGAGGTTTTACCTCATTTTACCAACAATCCTATGTAAACTGAAATAGAAATGCAATTATAAAAGAAGAAATCTTAGAATTTGGAGCAGAACTCAAAAGAATAAATGGACAGAGAGTCCACACTAACTGAAATGCCAACAAGTGGAGGTCTTCTTATTGTTCAAGTAGTCATGCTGTTATACTGTTTCAGTACAACAGGGAGGAACTTAGATGTCTGTCTTCATTAGAAACATGCTTGGTAAGTTACAAATTTAAGTTAAGAACCTGTGCTGCGTAAAAGGTTTGCAAACTTTTTTTGCAAACTCTAATTCCCAAAGTCTTGTTCCCCCTTTTGCTGTTTGATGACTTTAAAAAAAAATTATTGAACCCTTAAGGGATGACTTGAAGATACCCTGGGGATTATCACTGAATTAAGATAAAGTAGTAAGGAAGGTAGATTGGGCAAGACAGAATTAAATAGCAAGCAGACTTGGTGACATTAAATATGTTTACAGATACATCCCATTCTTTCCTAACTCAGTCATGGTTTAAATCAATCTATCTTCTCTACTACATTTTCAAAATTTGTTGTGATCTGATTAATTTGATGTTTTCACTTTGTCTTCCCCCTTGCAAATTATAGGAGCAGACTCCTTTTCCTGAAGTTCTAATAGTGTCTACTAAAACAGGCAGTACAAGATGTTTTTGTTTGCCTAAAAAAATTGACGAGTGAAAAGCAGACTCTAATAAAATGACTGTGTATTCACAGCTTAGTCCTCTTGGGAAAAAATGGTCAGTAATGGTAAAAGGGGAATGTGTAGCTACAATATTTTGTGTTGTCTCAGATCTCTCATCCTCACTACATCCTCAGGTTTCTTGTGCCAATGAGATGCATTATCTCACATTTTTCCCATGCCTACTCTGATTTTCCTGTTGGGCCCATGTTTCCAAATATTTTTGATCTCTCTGTGGGTTTTTTTTTACTACCTTTCCTTGGGTTTCATCACTCCTTCCAGTGAATCTTCTGTCACCCTCATTAAACTCCTGTTAACACTAATTATTTAACGATCCTAGGATAGCCCTGATCTTCTGAACAAGTCCTTTCAACATTAGATTTAAGTGCTATGTTTAGGGGGATGGGGGTTTTATTAGGATGGTTGGAGAAGGAATGTTGAAAAATGGATGTTATCCCTCAGGCCTCAGGGGAAACTATTTAGTACCAGCTGTTGCTCTGTTAAAAAATTACACATGAAGGCACACTTTAAACATGTTTTAATTTGTAAACTATAAAAACCAAAGCAGGTGATAAATCCTTTGCTTGCCAGAGGTTGGTAAAGATATATGATTAAATTTTTTTCATTCCAAGGCTGTTGATCCAGAGATGTGCCACAATATGCTGGGGCTCTAGTTAATTTTCCTCTTCCATTTGTCTTCTACCAGACATATCAACACACTTTCATTTCCTTTCTTTTATTCCTTTTCCATTATAATGACCTCCTCTGTCTTTTCCAGGACTGAATTGTCTACAAGCCTCTAAGCTGCTTGATTCCTTATAGGTAGGCCTG